CTGTGAAATGCTTGCAATGAGCCACATAAACAAATTATATCTGCAAACAATGAAAAAATCAAATGCAAAGGGTCTTCGGGCCAGTTGTTTAAACTTCATCTAATAAGCGGCAGGAATGGAGAAGTTTCATTCTGGAAAACCTAGAACCTACTGTCATACAGTTAACTGATTTGCATACACCCTGTGTAGGGTGTCCTCAAGTTTGTTCCACTACAGAATATATTCATTTCCAGTTGTGCTATGGAAAGAATATTTGTGTTGGGTAAAATATTTAGTGATACTTAGAAAGGAGCAAATGGGGGAAAAAGGCCTCTCTCTGCACATCCAAAATGATAACCACTAGCCAAATGATGCTATTAAAATTTTAAATAATTAAAATTAAATAAAATTAAAAATTTAGTTCCTAGATACATTTCAAGTGCTCAACATGGCTAGTGGCTACCATACTAAAACAGCGTAGATATAAAACCTGTACATCATCACAAAAACTTCTACTAGACGGTGAAGCTCTAGCGCATGAAAAGCATGTAATTTCCCCACAATCATAGAGGTATAGCCCAAAGAGCTCTGACATGAATTAGTAGTGCATTATCTGAGGTTTGCATTTACACATAACTTCATCTTCAGCAATAATGAGAAGTATGTTGCAGTGGCTAAGTGCTAGGGCTTCGGGGTAGAGTAGTCTTGAATTTCAATTTTAGCTCCAACTGTTACTAAATTGTGTGACCTTAGGCATGTTACTTTGCTTCTCTGTGCCTGTATTCTCATTTTTTAAAAGGTGGGGATGATAGTACCTACCTCATAGGATTGTTGTGAGGGATTAAATAAGTCCAATATCTGACACATGTGAACTATAAATGTTAGTTATTCTTAGCGTCATTCTTTAAGTCTTGAAGATGAACTTGGCTTGTTTTGGACCTAGAATCTAAGTGACCAGAAGAAAAGGCAACAGGGAACATTCAATCATGTGAGCAGCAAGGGAGTCAGTTCCTAACAAGGCCCCCCTTTGACTCTTGATAGATAAACAGAGACCACATTGTTCCTCTATAACTTGGGGCCAGCGACAAAAGAAAAGAGACCTTCTCCCTTAGAGATCTATTTGCCTTGCAGCTTTCAAAAAGTCAAGGAGTACCTTACCCTTGGCCTCAACGGACTCAGAATTGAAAGTTAACCGCCATGTCATATCAAATAAAATAAAAGCATCACACACTGTCTATTAAAGCAGTTTACCCAAATAAGTCACACAGTAGGAGAGGCACTTGGAGTTGTTTTTCCAGCTGTTTCTAGCAATCAAATCCAATTCCTTGATGTAGTATTATGGTGAAATGTTACTATACCCAATCCTTTGTGAATACCACACAACAGGCCTACTGTACCTCTGTAACCAACTGGATAAATATTTATTGAACACCTACTACATACAGGACGTTTTTGTTCTACACCAGCCATTGGCAAACTACATCTGGAGGGCCAAATTAAGTCCACTTCTTGTTTTTTGAATAGTAAGCAAGGTAAGAATGATTTTTACATTTTTAAACTGTTGGAAGAACTGCCCTCAACCACTATTATCAAACACTGAATGGCTATAGAAATTAGCTTTTGCTGCAGGCTTGATAATGTTTCTTAATTAATTCGACCTAAAATTACAAGGCAAAACAGCACTTACATGTGGAACATACTATAGGAAAGTTATTTCGACAACTAACATTGTTTGGATCACAAGTAATGTCCACACGCTTTATACACTTCTCATGCTGTCACAAGTCAAAACAACAAAATCACAATGAGATACCACTTCACACACACTACAATGACTATAATAAAAAGATAGATATTAACAGGTGTTGGTAAAGATGTGGAGAAATTCGTACCCTCACACATTTCTGGTGGGAGGGAAAATGGTGCAGACACTCTGAGTCTGACAGTTCCTCACAAAGTTAAACATATAGTTACCATAGGCCCAGCAATTCCACTCCTAGATATGTACCAAGAAAATCGAAACATATGTCTGTACAGAAATTTGTACACGAATGTTTATAGCACATTACTCCACAAAAAGTGGAAACCATCCAAATGCCCATAAACTGAAGAATGGATAAATAAAATGTGGTATAGCCATACAATGGAATATTATTCAGCCATAAAAAGGAATTAAGTACTGATACATACTAAAATTAAGATAAACTGCAAAAATATTATGCTAAGTGAAAGAAGCCAGACACAAAAGACCACATATTGTATCATTCTATATGTATGAAAGCCCAGAAAATGAAAATCCATAGAGACAGAAAATAGATTAGTGGTTGCATAGGACTGGGAGTGGAAACAGGGAGTGACTGAAAATGGGTGTGAGGTTTCTTTCTGGGGTGATGGAAACGTTTTAAATAAGATTGTGGTGATGGTAACACAATTCTAAAATATACTAATAATCATGAAATTGTCCACTTTTAAAAAGTGTAAAACATCAAAAGCATGGTCCATAAAAGAAAAGATGATAAATTTAACCTCATCAAAATTCAAAACTTTTGCACTTCAAAAGACACCATTAAGAAAATGAAAAGACAAGCAACAGACTGGGGGAAAATATCCACATATCATATATCTGCCAGGGACTCATATCCAGAATATATAAAAAATTCTTACAGCTCAACAATAAAAAGACAATAACTCGATTTAAAAATGGAAAAAAATATACGAACAGACACTTCACTGAAGAAGAGTTACAAATGGCTAATAAGCACACAAAAAGATGCTCATCATCAGTTACTAAGGAAATACAGATTATAACCACAATGAAATATCATTTCACATCCATTTAGAACGGCTATAATAAAAAGACAGACAATAACAAATGTTGGCAAGGATGTGGAGAAACAGAAACCCTCATACATTCCTGGTGGAAATGCAAAATAGTGCTGCTGCTTTTGAAAATGTTTGCAGTTTCTTAAAAAATTAAACATAAATTTGCCATATAATCAGTAATTCCACCCTTAGGTATCTGCCAAAGAGAAATGAAAACATGTGTCCACATGAAGACTTGCACACAAATGTTCTTAGCAGCATTATTCCTAATAGCCAAAAATTGGAAACAACCTACACATCTATCAACTAGTGAGTAGACAGACAAAATGTTATATCTGTAAAATGGAATACTATTTGGTAACAAAAAGTAATGAAGTGCTGATACATGCTACAATATGGATGAACCTCAAAAACATTATGCTAAGTGAAAGAAGCCAGGCACAAAAGACCACATGTTGTATGATTTCATTTATATGAAATGTCCAGGATAGGCAAATTTATATAGACAGAAAGTAGATTAGTGGTTACTTGGGGCTGGGAGTGGGAACAAGGATTAACAGTAAAGGAGCATGAGGGATCTTATTGGGGGAGTGAAAATGTTCTAAAACTGATCACGGTGATGGCTGCACCACTCAGTCAAGTTACTAAAAATCATTTAATTATACACTTGAAATGGGTGAATTTTATGATGTGTAAAATATATCTCAATAAAGCTGTTAAAAATAGTAAAAGAGAGGCTGGCCCGGTGGCATAATGGTTAAGTTCATGCACTCCACTTCAGCGGCCCAGGGTTTGTGGGTTCGGATCCCAGGCGCAGACCTAGGCACCGCTTAACAAGCCATGCTGTGGCAGGCGTCCCACATGTAAAGTAGAGGAAGATGGGCACCAATGTTCGCCCAGGGCCAATCTTCCTCAGCAAAAAGAGGAGGATTGGCAACAGATGTTAGCTCAGGGCTAATCTTCCTCACCAAAAAAAAATATAGTAAAAGTACAGTAGGGGAAATTGGGTGAGGTGTACACAAGAACTCTGCACTATCTTTGCAAATTTTATATAAATGTGAAGCTATTCTGAAATAAAAGATATATTTAAGTAAAAACCAAGAAGAATATGTTTATGGACTGATGTCAGTATTTGGCAGTACCTATCTATGTGAAAAGACATTTACAGAGATGAAATAGGAAAAATCTCATTACAGATCAGCCTTAACAGATGAACATTTGGAACGATTTTGATGATAGGGAACACTGACTGTGAGCCCCAATTAAACAAAATGTTACCCCCCAGAAAACAATTCCATTATTCTCATTAGTAGTCCTGTATTACAAAAAAATTACTCAATTATTATTTTTTTGAATTTCATCAAAAAACATTTGTGGAAATTTGTTTTCTCTCTTATTATATAAGTATCTTCAAATTATCCTCGATTTTGTCTTTTGACCCACAAAGCCTAAAATATTCACTATCTGGCTCTTTACAGAAAGTTTGCCAAGCCCTGTTCTACACCATAAGATGGTAAATATAAACGTGATCAGTCTCTTTCTTGAGCGTATTCTTATCATTACCTAGTTTAAGCATAATGCCCTTCCGGATATGCCCTGTAAAGGATAAGCCTTGCATCTCTTCTGCTATGGCACTATTTGGGATTTCCATAAATAGAAACACTATTAGCTTAATAGTTCTAGCAAAGCCTCGATGTCATTGTTATTATTGTGATAAAAAGGGCCAGCCCCATACCACAGTATCAAGATGACCCTCATCAAGTTGTGATGTCACCAGGCTATGGACTCGCTGAGGTCTCTTAGATATCAAGTGGCTCCTATGGCATCACACCCTGCCTTTGGCATCACCCTGGCACATCACCTTACTTTGGTGTCATATGCTGTACTGCTGCTACAGAATTCTGCCCTGATGCCATTCCACCGAGATGTCAGAATAATTAACTTTTACTTCTTTCCACTCCTTTAGCGGCGGCAGGGAGGGGGAGGGTAGCCACAGCCACCGGTACGAGCTCAGGAGGTAGTACTCAGCTCCTACCGTTGTCCCTTCCGCCTGTCACTGCAGGTCAGGGCCCCCGTGGGACAGGACTTTTAGGCTCCCATAACTCTCTTGCCGTGACCCCGCACCCGTTTCGCGTAGCCGACTCAATGCCACAACAGCGACCACCCACCCCGGTTCCACACGAAGCCGCTCCCTGTACCTGACTCCATTCTCCAGCTGTCATCCTGGGCCAATTCCACCGGCCACTTGACTACGGCGGCCGCAAGGGACCCTGGAACTTGTAGTTCCGCGCTGCTAGGGGCAGAGTCGGCGAGGGCTGCAAAGGCGCCTCCCCGCCTGGAACTGCGCTCAAACTGCAACTCCCAGAGGCGCCCTGCGATGGGAAAAGACGCAAAGGAACGAGGAAGATCAGTAATTGGTGGAGCTCCACAGGCTCTTTTGATTGGCAGTCGGAGCCCGCGACGTGAGGCGGCCGTTGGTCGTGCTTCACGGAGAGCCTGGGAAAGCGAAATGGAGGGGTGTGTGTCTAACCTAATGGTCTGCAACCTGGCCTACAGCGGGAAGCTGGAGGAGTTGAAGGACAGCATCCTGGCCGATAAATCCCTGGCTACCAGAACTGACCAGGTAAAGCGGCGCTGGAGCCTCTCCGCAGGCGGCGGCGGCGGCGGCGGCGACGGAGCCCAACGTGGCGGCCGGGCCCGGCCCAAGCGGAGGCCGGCTGCGCGAGGGCCAGATCCCCGCCCCCGCCGCCTCATCCTTTCCCCGGGGTCACCTCAGGACTCCGAATTGGGCGGCAGGAGCTAGGCCCACAAACCTCAAATATTTTTTTTGGCCCAGTACTTAGCTCGCCGGATTTTGGATATTTCTAGAACGTTTACCGCGTTTCTCCGAAATGCCCAGTCTTTGAGATATCCGTGAGAAGGAACACTTTTTTTTTTTTTAATGAGTTTCTTTACTTTTACTGGTGATTTTATTCAGTGAAACACATGTAACTGAACGCCTCCTCTGTGCCAGGCGGTTTGCTAGGAGCTGGGGTTACAGTGGAATGAAAGGAAGCCGACGTTAATAAAGTAATCCCAAATCATGGGTCCGATTACAAATTGTGGTAAATTCTCGGGAGAGGAGTTTACGTGGTGCGCTCAGGACATATAACAGGAGGACCTGATTTAATCTCCCTTGGAAAAGCTGAACGTTGTGGTGACTGAAAAGGCTGTGCAAGCGAAGGAAGGTTGGTTAGACCTTGAAGGATGAGTGGAATTTCCCTGGGGGACGAAGGGGCGTTCTAGGCAGAGGTGGAACAGAAGTGAATGGACTTTGGAAAGTGTTTGTTTCTGCCCTCCTGCTCAAAAGACCCTCATGCTTTCACCCTGAGCTTCTGGAAAGATTCACAATGCCTTCAATAAGCCAACACATATTTATAGATTGCATCCTATTTGACAGGCACCGTGCTAAGCACTAGCGTGACAGTGTCAGATACCAATTTCCATTTTGTGTTTTTTGGGAAGAGAATTATAAATCAGGAGAGTTTTTTTCTGGAACTTTCCTGTATTGCTCTACCTGAAAAGGGCTTTACCCTTATCTAGTTTACCTTCATTACGGTGTGGTAATATTTAAGACATTAAATTTAATTTAATATTAAATTAAGATTTCATTATATTTCTAACCATTCTTCATGAAGTTAATGGCATAAAAAAGTCTCACGATCAAGAGACTTAAGAATCATAACCAAATGCAATTTATGGACCCTGTTTGGATCCTGATTTAAACAAGCCAACTGCAAAAAGACATTTGGGGGACAGTGGGGAAATCTGAATATAGAATGGGTATTAGATGTTATGAAGGAGTTAGTGTTAATTGTAATAGGTGTAATAATGGTCTCATAGCTATGTAATAAAGTATGTTTATTGTTTAGATACTGAAGTATTTGGGGATGAAAAGTCATGATATTTAGGATGTATTTTTAACAAACCTCAGCAAGGAGAAAAACTAGATGAAGCAAATATGGCAAAATATGTATGAAACCTAGGTGCTAGGCATATGGGTTTCTATTATATTCCCTCTATCTTTATGTGTGTTTGAAAATTTTGGTAATATAAAATACCATTTTCTTTTACATAGGGCTAAGAAATACAGCAGTCACTGCAAAAAAGGATTCTCTTTGAGAAACATGACTAACTCTTCCTGCCTTTTTATTTTTTTAAAAAGTAATTTTATTGCTTTCTAATTCTATGTGTGGCGTATTTTTAAATGGTTGTATAGATAATCTCAGCTAGTTTTATGAACATTTCTTATCCATAGATGCATTTGTTCTTTCCAGAGCACCTAGAAATTTCAGTCAGACAGATAGAGGTTTGTGTCCCAACTTCACCATTTACTAGCTGTGTGACCTTGGACAAGTTGCTTACCCTGAGGAATCTTAGTTTCTGCATCTGTCAAGTGGGGCTAATATCCGCTGTATAGGATTGTAGGGATTAAATGAGATGATGCATGTAAAACTCCTAGCATAGTGCCTGACATAAAAGTGCATAAATAATGTAATAGTAAACAGCCAAAGCTCTATTTCTGCCAAAGCATTGAAATCAGTTTCTTTCTCTGCTGCTTTCATGGCTGTATTCTCCGAATTACTTACATTCATCAATATATTCCCCCCATGTTACTAAAACCGTGGTCTCTCTTATACTAGTACGTAATGTGGTTTAAGGTTACCTACCTGAGGATCCAGTGCTCTCCATTTCTTGTTTCCAAACTTTAGGTTTGCTGGCCCCACTGTTAATTTTTTCTGCTTTCTTGCCTTAGTTCTTCTATTTCTCTTCAAGGATGTTGATCTTCCTGCTTCTCTGTTTCCCATATAGGACAGCAGAACTGCATTGCATTGGGCATGCTCAGCCGGACATACAGAAATTGTTGAATTCTTGCTGCAACTTGGAGTGCCGGTGAATGATAAAGATGATGTGAGTACTAGAGTTGATAAATTCCCAGTTATCTTTAGACTCCAGACTGGTGTTTACTGAAGCCTGAGTATTAAGCTCACAAACAAAATTGTAACCTTTGTGACTAGGAAGTTACAGCATGACCCTGGTGACCAAGCACAGGACTAGTGGTTGCATTATTTTAGAATGTTAGTTTTGCCACTCATACCCTGTAATTTAAGGTAAACATGCAGATCAAGGCTTATTACAGTGACCCCTGAGAGACTACAAACTCTTTTTCTTATGTTGGAAATTTTTTTTGGTGAATATTGCCTAAATAATGAGGGCCCAGATATCTTTTTTTGTTATATAGAAATTTATTGTAATGGTATTGGTTATATTAGAATAAGACTTGTGAAGAATAAGGATGGAAACTTTTTGTAGGCAAAGATTCCTGTTCAAGAATGCTCACTGAAGTAATATTTATAAGAGCAAAGAAATAAAAACAGTTTAATGGAGGGGCCAGCCCCATGGCCTAGTGGTTAGGTTTGGTTTGTTCTGCTTCAGTGGCCTGGGTTCAGTTCCTGGGCGTGGACCTACACCACTCATCGGCAGCCATGCTGTGGCAGTGACCCACATACAAAATAGAAGATTGGCACAGATGTTGGCTCAGGGCAAATCTTCCTCAAACAAAAAGAGGAAGATTGGCAACAGATGTTAGCTAAGGGCAAACCTTCCTCAGCAAAAAAAAAAAAAAAAAAAAAAACATTTAATGGAGGAACAGTTGGATATACTAGGTATATACATATGGTAAAATAATGTGCAACCAATAAAGTTATGATTCCAAAGAATGACAGAGAAAATTTCTCACAACAAAATGATAAGTGGAAATTGTGGAAAATGCAACTCACGGAGCTTTATACCCTGTGATCCCAATTTGAAAACACATTAGAATTAGACATACATCATTATCAGTGTTATGGGATTGTGGGTGGTTTTTCTTTTCTTTTGTGTACATCTGCTTTCCAAATTCTCTGCAGTGCTTAATGAGGGGGGAAAAAAGAATGTTATTTTTTTTAAGCCATTCACACACAGCTCTTTGTAAACCCTGCCTGAATGTTAGCGTTAATCCCTGTGCCTTTCCTCCTGCTTTTTGTACTGCCCACCTCTTTTACAGGCAGGTTGGTCTCCTCTTCATATTGCTGCTTCTGCTGGCCGGGATGAGATTGTAAAAGCCCTTCTGGGCAAAGGTGCTCAAGTGAATGCTGTCAATCAAAATGGCTGTACTCCCCTACATTATGCAGCTTCCAAAAACAGACATGAGGTAGGGTTCCACTCCTAGGCTACTTGTTTTGAGTTCTAAACCTGTAGGCAAACACGAATAGATCTCTGCATTGTTTCCTTCTCTGTCTTTCCAGATCGCTGTCATGTTACTGGAAGGCGGGGCTAATCCAGATGCTAAGGACCATTATGAGGCTACAGCAATGCACCGGGCAGCAGCCAAGGGTAACTTGAAGATGATTCATATCCTTCTGTACTACAAAGCATCCACAAACATCCAAGACACTGAGGGTAACACTCCTCTGTAAGTGACAAGTAGCAATCATTTGTATTCTACCTGACATTAGCCCTCTTGCACTAATTCTTACACATTGTTTCTTTTTTTATTCTGCTTATAAATCTAATATGTGTTTATGGCAAAAAAAATTTGAAAGTGCATGAAAGTACAAAGATAAAAATTAAAATTGCCTATCATCTTGCCGCTCAGAAATAACCACTGCTAACATTTTTATGTATTTCCTCCCAGTCTTTCTTATGCAAACATGCACATTTTACATATTTTTCTTTGTAAAATGGGGATCATACTGTGTATGTAGCTTTATATCTTGTTCTTTTCACCTCATTCTATATTGTGAGCATTTTCCAATGTTATTAAATATTTTTAAGACATTTTTGAATGGCTATATACAATTCTATTTTGTGGATGTGCCATAATTTAATCATTTTTCTATTACTGTATGTTTAAACTTTTTTGAGTTTTCCACTATTATAAATGGAAATAAATATAATAATATAAATAAATAATAAATATAATATAAATAAATATAAAGTGGAAATAAAATGCTACACTGGCTAACTTTATACAAAAATATTTGGCCACATTGCTGTTTACTACCTTAGTATAGACTCCTAGAAGTAGAATTGCTGGGTCAACAAATACACACATTTTAAGACTATTGCTATATATTGCCAGATTGCTTCCAGAGGAGTTGTATCATTGTACCCTCCACAGCAGTTTGAGAGTGCCTATCACCCCCTCGCCAACACTGAAACTATCCTTTTGTTATATGAAAATGGTATTTCATAGTTGTAATTTACATTTTTTATTATCAGTGAAGTTAAACATTTTTTATTGCCTACAACTAATTACATTTCTTCTCTAAACTAACTTTTTATGTCCCTCTCTCTGTTTAATTTTGGGAAATTAATTTATTTTTACTTATTTTTTAAATACCCTTGACTTGACATAGTAAAAATATTAACCTTCTGCCGTGTTAGTTGAAAACATTTTTCCCAGTTTGTCTTTTCATGTTGTTCATGATTTTTTTTTGAATAACAGTTTTCAACTTCTACATAATCAAACTTGTTAATCCTCCCTCGTGACTAGAAAGACCTTGCTCACCCTGAAATTAGTTAAATATTCACCTGTATTTTATTGTAGGTTTTTTTTTTTAACATTGCATTGGTTTTGGTTGCGAGTTATTGTTGTTTTTCGTTTAACTCAAATCCATCTGGAATTGATTTATGTGTGTGACCTGAAGCCATCCTGTACCTTGATATTTTTTCTACAGTACTTGGCCAGTTTTCTTCCTTATTGAGTGGTGACTTTTTTGAACCAGAAATTCTCTGAGTCTTCTTTTTAGTCCAAAGTGAGATTCAACATTTTTGAAGTATTGTTTTCTTAATTCTTAGTTTTAGAAATCATTTCTGTAGTTCTGAGTGACTCTGTTTAGAAAGACTTGCATATTCTAGCTCTTGTCTCCATAACAAGAAAGGCAGGGTGGCCTGGAGGAAATCCAGGAGTCAGGCATTATAGGGTCCTGGGAAGAGCCTAGGATTTAGGAACAGCTAGATGCTATTGACCCAATCCAAACTCTGCCACTTACCAACTATGTTAAATACTTCTATTAAGTAACTTAGAGAAGTTGCTTAGCCTTCCTGAGTCTTAATTTCCTCGTCTGTAAGATGAGGATAATAATTCCTTCCTCACTAGATTGTTGTGAGGCTTAAATAAAATAACATGTCAAGTGCCTGATATCCTGCCTGGTAACCTCTTAAGTGCCTAACAAGGTTTCCCCCTCAGTTACTGCTCAGCCATGTCATCATAGGCAAAGACTTTAATCTGTTACAATTTTAAACTGTAAAATGGTGATGATAATACCTTACTAACTTACGAGGTGGATATAAGGATCAAATGAGATAAAATCTTTTGAACTGCTTTTCCAAAATTTAAATCACACAAATTGCCATTAGTGGATTATGAATTGGAGCTTTTCTAGATTCTAGCCCTGAATTATTGCATGTGTTTGGTGTAAACTACTTCTAATCTCCATAAAATAACGGAGTTGTTCCTTAGGCTGGTATTTAGATCGCTTCTTCTATTGTAGTAGAGAATTATGATTTATGATCTGGTATTATAAGCCTATTCCACTGAATTTTAACTTAAAAAATGTTCCCCATGCAAATTGATTTTCCTTTCCTGATGAAATAACTTTCCGATATTACAATAGCTAATAATATGCAGTTTAGACTACCTCAGCAAATCCTAACCATTACATAGAAGTGGTAGTAATTAATCAGTCTTGGTGTCCTCAATTTCAGACACTTAGCCTGTGATGAGGAGAGAGTGGAAGAAGCAAAACTGCTGGTGTCCCAGGGAGCGAGTATTTACATTGAGAATAAAGAAGAAAAGACACCCCTGCAAGTGGCCAAAGGTGGTCTGGGTTTAATACTCAAGAGAATGGTGGAAGGTTAAGCAGCTTGGATTTATTCTTACTTTGTAAGTTTTGTGGTTGTCCCCAGTGTCCTGGAAACTAATGTACTTGTGCACAAGACATCATCTATGAATGATGAAGTTGTTTCATCTTCAAAGTGTTATAAACATGTTGAATATTGTTCCTGTTAAATATTTGTTCTAAGCCTACACTTGCTTCCCAGGCATTGAATAACTGTTGAGATTGTTCTATTGTTGTATATTATTCTACATTGAATTGTGGTTAATTTTGAGTAAATGATTCTGTGGCTGTTGTGAGTCTTCAGCACCCTCCCATGCACCTTCTGTCTCCCTCTGGGGCAGAACAGCCCCAGGAGCACCAGGCCAATTGTTCTGCCAAATGTTTCTAGGTGGATTCTAGAATGTTTCTCCGTACAGTTGAAACACATCCTGACTCGTTTTTCAAGCTCACTCAGAGGCCTATGCCAAATATTTCTGTTTTTTCAACAGTACAATTTATGTTTGTTACAGGAGGAATACTTATGTATTTCAGAGAACCAAATTTTCAGTTGGAGGGCATGCTATCCAAGTTTGGCATTCATAAACACGAAAATAATGAAAAATAGCCCATGTACCCATGTATCTTTTTAATGAGCTATTTCTCTCCAGAATGTACTGTTTTTAAAAAGGAAGTTTTAAAGTACCTATATTAAGTCATCCTGTATTGAAAAGAATGTCAAGCTTGTTAACATGATATGTAACAAAAATGTATTTCAATTTGTATCTCAAAAATTAAAAAAATAAAACGTTGAGGGAATCTTCCAATTTTTCTTTCAAATCAAACACCCGCTTAAGCCTTAAAATCCTTCATAAAGGCATCTCTCAGTTTTTGGTAGCTCTAAAGTCAATAAAATTAGTGAAGCTTGAACTGCAGCTCAAATCTTTAAAAATGGTAATCTTCTGAATTGCTAATTAAATGTGGAGCAAAAGAAAATTAAGTGTAAACTTGATGTCAATTTAGGGAAACATCTTAAACGATTACTAGTCATAAAATCTAATGAACCTCAAGTGACTCTTCGAATTATTTTTTTAGTTTGAATTTTGTGCTGCAAATATTGCTTGAAATAAGTGATCCAAGGGAGCCCACACACTTCCATTGATTTGGGGTCAGAGACTTAATGACCAGTGGCTAAAATGAGTTTTGTAAACACAAACTGTGTTGTTGGTATGCAAACCCTTTTTACATAAATATTTTGAGTGCTAATCTTTACAAAAATTAATCAGAGAAGCATCTTCTTGTGGAACTAAACTTTGTTATTGAGTGCCAGGGAGTCAAGTTGTGTCTAATAGGGCCTGTTAGGACTGAAGTTTATTGTCTGAGTTAATAGGCTTTGTGAGTGTAAAAGAAAACTCATCTTAGCTCTTTAATAAGCAACATGGATGGAACCAAGCCTCAGGTAATTTGTAGGCTATTGACATTTTAAATGAAGTGGCTTGTTAGCAACATTTAAATCACTGATTTGTATAAACTAAGGATGTTAATGGCCTCGGATATTGAGCAGATTGTTACCTATTCCCCATAGGAAACCCAATAGAGATGAAGCTGATTCAAGGTCAGCAGGTTTTACAGTTACTTCCAAAATGAACTCAAGAAAGAGGACAACTTTAATTGCAAAGCTTAACTGAGAATATAAGATGAAAGAAATAGGTAAATGGGAACAGTGGAAAAATTTATATTCTTAAGTATCTATTGGAGGGAACCCACAATTTCAGTGGTGGTCTGTGAGATTCAAGGTAAATCTGCATTTTATTATATGGCCCCAGTGTTTTGATTTCCCACTTTCTCAACTATACCAACTACAGTGAATTCATTACATGGCTGTGTATGCTGCTTTCTGTTTCCATATCCTGTTACACTATCAAACCCCCAAATCAGTCTGTCAGCAAGTTTGGTATAGTGTGGGAGCTCTTTACTTGGGGGTCTATGGCTCCAGCTTTACAGTCCTATTGACTGCCTAAAATTGAATGCAGAAATTTGTATGTGCATTTTTCTAGGAAGAGGGTTCTGTAGCTTTCATCAGATTCTCAAAGGGATCTGTGACTTCCCAAAAGATTAAGAATCCCTAGTCGAGAGAAAAAAGGATACTGTATCAATTATCAGGAGACGTGGCTTCTGCAGCAGTATATTCTACCACACTTTATAATTTATAAATTTCTAAATCCATTCTCCACTGTAGCCTTTAGGAAGGCAGAAATCATCTCCGTTTTACAGAGGAGAAAACACCCAGAGCTAGAGAAATTGCCAACACTAAAATCGAGCCTTCCTGGATCTGATCCATTTTCTTTCTGCCTCTACTCAAAAACAGTGGACCAAATGGAAGGTACTGTGGCATTTGGATAATAACCCATTAGTTTTAACACCCTCCAACCCCGTGCTTTTCTTTACATTGGGGCTTTTTTTTTTTTTTTTTTTGGTTTCCTGAGGCCTTCCTTATCATCTCTGAATTCTTTGTTTTTAAACCAAAGCTTCAAAGACAAGTGGGATTATTGAGTCTTTATTGATTGGTTTGGACCTTTTATGAGACCCTCTAACCTGTTTTCTAGCAGGTAGACATTGTGAAAAGAACCTTTTATTACTAAAACTTGGGTTTGTTTCATTGAAATTAGTAGTTTGGTGCAGTTGAAAGAGCATTACACTGGGAATCAGAGAACTTGGGATCTTGTCTTGACTTTGTATAGTCTCAGGCAGATTATTTTACCCCTCTTCAGTCAGGGATTCTCCTCTGGGGATTGGGTGAGATATATAGGAATGACCCAGCTTTTTAAAACTACATTTATGTCTTCCTGTCTCCCTCCCCAAGAATGTAATTCTGCATCATCTCCCACCTCCACCATCATTGTCAGGAATGAGCCATTATGTGTTATTACCCTCAGGTGTGCTGAGACTGAAACGGGTTGAGTACTGTTGATCTCAAAGCTCTCTTCTTGCTCTTCTAGCTCTTGTTACTGAAGGTTCATCAAACCTGTTACAGGCCCGTGTAAAAGCTGCAAATATTAACTTCTCGGCATACAGTATTGGGGGCAAAGGTCACCTGGTACTCTAAAGGACATAGGATATATCTATATAGGTGGTTTCTTAGCTATTGGTCAGGAATTACTATGTTTTTGTCCCTCTGCATCACAGATCACTATAATTTGGAGGCCCTCCCCAGTGCAGTACAAATTCCAACTTTCCTCCCCTGTAGTCAACACACTACTGGTGATAACATGCAAGAACCTGTCATAATTAGCAAAGCTGTATATTCCGTGAGGACGAGCTAGCTCTGATTCTGCTCACCATTATATCACAGCCACAGCATCTGGTTCATAGTAACCATTCGATAAATGTTTAGTGGATGACTAAATAAATAGATGAATTAGATGAATTTGGGGACAATAACCTACAGCCAAAAAGCTGTTCTGTTGATTTTAGCATGTCCTAGCTGCTAAATACAGAAACAAAGAGATAAGAGAAGTTTCTGGAAATCTTTTTGGATAGTAAGAAGAGAATGGTTAAGAAGCCCCAAGGCTGGTTTGGGATTTGGTTCCTCACTTAAATTTTAACTATGGCAAAATAAATCAGGTAGTACCCTCTCTGAATGAGAATTATGCTGAAAGAATTTGGTTGAAGTTTAATCAGAATATTTGGGTAATGACTATTCTGTTATTTATTTTCTGATCCACTGATGAAGAAGCAGAAAAAAGCTTTGTTTGTGCCCTTATCAGAAAGCTCTTTAACATATGACCCCATTTTTCTGCCCAAGTAAGATTTAGAGAACAAAATTGTAATGATTCCATATCTTATAGAGTCTCAGGATTCATCACAAACATAAATATATGGTGTATTATGGATGTACTAATAGAAGATAAAAGGAGACTGGGGTGAAAGGTACACTGACCCAGAGTGGCCTTATGAGTGTGGAATAGATGGTAACCCACATAGTTTGATTTGAGAGGGGCCAAGAAGGCTCCTTTTTCCAGAAATATCTGCCCTCTGGATTGATCCAGTGCTTGAAATTCCACTGTTTAGACTCTTTGGATTAAGGAATTATCTGTGTTCAAGGGTCCCCTGTTAAAAGGTGAATACTTTTAAGAGAGCTAACTCATTATTAACCTGATTGACATGAGTGGGTGATGAAAGATCATGTTTGCTGGATAAGAACAGGTCACGGAAGAGCTACCTTTTGAAAGGGTGGCAAGGATAGAGATAGGGCCTGAGTAATGAATCCTGCCTGAGGGTTGCAGACCTGAGTGGGTCACTGAGCTAGTAGGCACATGAGAATCCTGGGTGTTAGGACAATAAGGCTCCAGAAGGCTAGCAAAGGCACTGAAAGGAGAGATCCAAAAATACTTCAGATTATCCTCACCTCCTTCCCAACCTTGCCCAGCTAGAGTTTCTGCATGGGCAGCGAGTACTCTATAGTTGTAAATCCAGACCTTTCCTTCCATTCCTGTCAAATTCATTATGTTGATTTCAAGTCAGCTTCCAGGCTATCAAGATCAGTTTGAGTCATGATTCTGTCATACAGCATAGTAACCATTCCCCGCCAGGAGCAAGACATCCACAGATTTATTAAGTGTGACTTCTGTGTTTTTATCTAAGTCACTGGTTCTTAATCTTGGATTCAAGGGGGTCTGTAATTTATCTAAAAGTGTACAACACACTTTGTGGATATAAGCATTTTTCTGTGGAGAGGGGTCCAGAGGTTTCAGCAGATTCTCAAGGTGATCCATGACCTCAAAAAAGGTTAAAAACCACTGATCCAACTTTTCATCACTCTTTTGAACAGAACAGTGCTAAGAAGGACAGAGCTCTATAAGACCACCAAGAAGACCTTCCTTCCTGCTCAGCACTGATCCATCAGAAATTTGGGGGTGTAGTTGTTGAGTCTCTTTTTTGTGATTTGCCTCTATCATAAAAGTAGAAGAGAAAAGTGAATTCCAGCTACTTTGGCATTCTGGTAATTGAGATTTTTCTCACTGTTGGTGTTTACTTTTTAACCTCTAAATATTAGGTCATTCTTCATCATTTTTCTTCTTGGACCCATTAGACACCATATATCATATTATATTTAGTCAGAATTGAATTATAGATGCTTCAGAAATCCCCACAATTGGCTGAAAATTAATACATCCAAGAAAATCCATAAGTAAAAGCTTGCTGTCTCTTCTTTCCATGGCTCTGGACGAATGTAATGTTAATTTCAATTTGAATCTATCAGTTTGGGTATGATCTATATAGAAAGGGCTTCACAGTTTAGGAAAATCCTCTACATGAAAATCTGTATGTGATAAGTTAGAGATTCATTACTTCATTTAAAAAGGATTCAGGTACATGTGTGTGGTGATGGGTTGTAATTAGTATTTTGGTGGTGAGGATGATGTAATCTATGCAGAAATAGAAGTACAATGATGTACACCTGAAATTTTTACAATGTCATAAACCAATGTTACTGCAATAAACAAAAATTAAAGCTGAAAAAAAAAAAAAAGGATTCACCTTAGAAGGAAGTCAGACACAAAAAAGTACATACTGCATGATCCCTTTTATATGAAGGTCAAGAAAAGTCAGTCAAATGGAAAACAAATCAGTGGTTGCCTAGGTCCAGGGTGATGGTGGGAGTGCACAAGGGGGCATAGGGAACATTTTGGGATGATGGAAATGCTCCATTTAGATTGTTGTGGTTTTAGGGGTATATACATCTCTGAAAACTCATCAAATTGTACACTTGAAATAGATGCAATTTATTGTATATAATTTATTGTATATGTCAATAAAGTTGTTAATAAAAAATTTACCTAGGAGTCATTAAGATAAGATTTTATTAAGTATTATTTATTGAACCTTAAAATAAGATTTAAAATCTGATCGATTACACAAATGAAAAAGTCTACCTGTAAATTTTTTCAAGGTGGGATGTGGGTGAAATATGATCAATGGAAAACCTTTTTAACAAGTGAAGAAGAGGTGATTTCAATGTGATTTAGTTAATATTTAGCATTTATACAAGAATGATATCTCTTTATTAATATGGAATATACCAACAGTAAAACAGATTTAATTATTCAGATTATCTAAAATAGATCTTCAGTGTTCTTTTAGAACAGTTTCCTAGTCTGGCCCTTCCGAAGCAAGTGGCATCAGACACAGTGATAACAGAATAGCTCAGTCAAAGCTAAATTGTACATCACCTATCATACCAACATTTTGTATTCACTGAAGGAAAATTGTATTTGGAATGGTTTGCCTGTACATTATTTTGCACTTAAAAATGGGTTATTTTTAAAATTTGCTAGGCTCAGATATTGAATAGCAGGGTGGCTCCTTGGGAAATCGAACGTGATAAGTGAAGCATTCATTTGAAAACCTAGTTTTAAATGCTATGTACCAATTAATATGTATCCTTTACACAATCTCCTCTGGAATTTTTGAGGAATTTCTTTCTAATCTATGAGATAATGCTGGTGAATTCTTTTCTTAGTGGTCAATGTGAAACTGAAGAGGGAAGCCTGACAACTAATCCTAGAAATAATATTGAATCCAATTAATGCCACCTTGTCATGTGTGCATGTGGAATGTAACAAAGAGTAGCTAAAAATAGAGAAATAAGATTTTCTGAAATACGACACAGGTGTTGTAAAACACTTACAACTGAGTGAGAAATCACATGCCTTGTCATTAGTTATGCTTACATGTTAGTAAAATTGTAAGTACTCTATACTGGTAATTCAGGAACTCTTGCATTTATTTAGTAGTTATCTTGACCTTTTTATTTTGGATGGTTGGTAGGAGCACCTTGTTAGAAGAGGGTTGGTAAGAATGGAGGGAGGTGGGGGGAGACTGGTTAGGTCAAGTGAATTCCAAACGCCAGTAATGGGTTCCTCAGTGATGACTACTGTACTTATGTTACCAGCCTATTGCTTATTCCCTCTTTTTTCCTCGTCACACAAGGGCTCAACTACAATCTCGGGCTCTGGCTCCATTTTTGGCTCTGGCTCGGGCTCTGGCTCCAGCTCAATCTCAAGCTCAGGCACCGGGACAAGCTCAGGTCCTGGGGTGGGCTCCAGGGGAGGCTCTGAGACAGGCTCAGGCTCAGGGATAGGCTCATGATCTGCCCCCAGGATGGTATCATCGTCAGTCTCATGGGTGGAAGGTGGCACAGTTGCTTCTAGTTGGATCGTGTCTTCATTTGGCATTACTTCACCCTCTGTGCTTTGTTTGATCATTGTCATTGGTCTGCATGAAGAAGGCCCAGGGAAGAACAAGTTAGGGTTTGACATTTCACATGGAGCCATAGGCTCTGTAGCTTCAGTGATCATAGGTCACAGTCTGTTCAGGACCTCTGTGATTTCTGATATTCTGACTCACTGTCGGACCACTCACTGTCTCCATTTTGGGCGCAGAAAGGTTAGGTCTTAACGATATAATGAGAGTTCAAGAGAGACAAACCAGTGTTTAAAAGGTGGGAAAACTGATGTCAGGGTGAAAGGGTCTAAAGATCTAATAAAGTCTTTGAGGGCCAAGTCCATGGCTCTGGTGCATCTCCAGCTCCCACTCTATCTAACACAATACTTGGCACCTGGTTGGTACCCAATACATAGTTGTGGAAGCGTAGAAATGGAGGGATGAACAAATGAATGAGTGTGATATCCATTCAAGAAGAAATAGCAGAGTGGTCAAGAGCACAGGCTGCAGGCAGGGCTGCATTCTGACTTCCATGGGCCCTCGGTACTTTTGCCTTCTTGGGCCACTTGTTCCATAAAAAATATTAAAAATTATATTTTGTGACTGTGTTGGTGGAAAGACACATATATTAATATGATATATTAAAACATTTTCTTAAACCTAAAAGGGTCGTCATGGCAGTTAAATGAGTTGATATACATAAAGTGCTTAGAAGAGAATCTGGCACAGAGTGCTCAGTAAATGGTAACCATCATCATTTTATAAAAGTGAGAGTGAGCAGAAAGATACCTCTGCTATGCTAAAAAGGAGTGCTTAGGAAGAGCTGACCGAAAGAGATACGCCTAAGAAATGTGTATTCAAGTCAAGACAAAAGAATAAAGTCTTACTCAAGTTCTGTGGTGGTTTTAGAATTTCTTTTCCTCTCCTTCCCCTTTGACTTTGCCTTTGCCTTGTTCCTTGCGAAGCACACAACAGAGATGATAATGGCAGCACCTACTAGGGTACCCACCAAGGCCCCAACAATGATTCCAACTTCTGGATCTGGAGGATACAAGCAGCTGGTTAGTAAAGTGGAACATATTGTCTGCCTATTCCCCATTTGTGACCAATGGGGAATATTTGGAGCATTCCTATAGTGGGAAAGTGACTTGTATAGGCTGGGAGCATGGAAACCTCTAAAACTCTGCCAGTGGACTCACAGTGGAAGAGGAAAGATGACTGGCTCGACTATGTAGCCTAGCCATTCACATTTACACACATAAAGAAACAAATATGCCAACTTGGGGGAGGTGGAGTTGCTTTTGAAATGGGGTTTAGAGAAGCGAGTCTTCAGTGTACATTTGCTTGGTCAGTAAAAGAGACACCTTGGAACTGCAATCTGGTCACCAGAGAAATGACCTCTCTTCCAGGCAGGGTCATTTCGCCAGGCTTTCCCAGAGCATAGGTGAAGTAGATCCCCAAAAACCTCTCCCACTGATTCTGTGCTCACCAAGGAGCCTCATGCATTCTGGCCGCTGGAAAGGGATATGCCCACTTCCATAAACAGGCATCTGGTTTATTAGATCAGTCTGTGGAAAAACTTAATAAGTGTGAGATGATCCAGCTGAGCCCCAGACCTTCAAGCACTGGGGTATTGTCCCCGAGAGATCATGTCTGGGTTCCAGGCGGGTCCATCCCCATCCACTTCCCCTCAAATAAGGATGGACGTCTTATATTTTGAGATGAAAGGCTAGTTGAATTGCCTGATCATTATTTTAACTTTTTATGATTAAAGGAATACATGTGTATAATTTAGAAAGTCAAACAATTTTACTAGACTTCTAAGAAAAACAGTAGTCCCTTGCCCCGCTCCTCCCCATCTCTGAGTCCTGTTCACTAGAGGCAACCACACTGAACTCTTGTTTTTTAATCTTCTGGCATTTGCCCCCATGTTTCTATTACACTTGTTCTCATATGTCCTGCCTTTTCCAATTTTCATCATTTTCTATTGACTTCTTACTCTGGAAGTTCAAGATTTACCACTCCCCTCACACCCCGCCACATTCTCCTAATAAGGTTAGAGCACAAGTTGTAATAAATCAAAGTTTGCAGCATTACGACTGTGTAAATATTGTTCACAGCTTCAGAACATGGTATATATTATAATCCTTTCTTGTACAACATTTTTAAATTTTCCCTGAGGTTAATAATTGCCTCATTTGGGGATTTTATATATATATATATATTATCACTAATCCCCAAATTTCCAGCAAAACTGTTAAAACTCCTTTCAGTAGATTTAAACGCATCAGATAATCTCTTGGTTTCTTATGTTTTTCTTTTCCCTTGGGAACATCAGCTGGGGAGTCCTCCCTCCTCCTCCCTCAGCATGGGCTGGTTGCCCTCCTAAGCCTGCTGCTCTACTGTCATCCTTCAACTTCCTTGCACCTTCATCCTTACTTTACAGACAAAGAAACAGACTTTGCAAGTCCCTTCAAGATCCAGCTCAAATAGCACTTCATTGGTAAATCTGGCCCTGGTTCTATAAGCATAATTAATTGTTTCTTCATTGGTGTCCTGTAGGCCTCGTGCAGACCTCTATTAGAGCGTTTAACACAGTTTACTGTCTGTTTGTCCCTCTAGCTAAACTGTGAGCTCCTTGAGTGTAAGACATATATCTTATTAATCTCTGTATCTCCATCACCTAGGACAGTCCCTGGCATATAGAAGATATTCAATGAATGTTTGAGGAAGGGAGGGAGGGAGGCAGGAAAGGCAGGCAGGCAGGAAGGAATGAACGAAGGAAGGAAGGAAGCGAAATGCCAAACTCATTGGAAGAGAATTCAAAAGGAAGCAAGGCTCAAGTACAAATTCTAGCAGTCGCGACATCTTCAGTATGACTGTACTTCTGGAAAAGCAAAAAAGGATTGGGGAAGATCTAGAGAAAAACAACAGAAATGATCAAAGGTCTTGGGGTAGAATGGGACCACAGAAAAAGACAGACCAAAAAGACGAGGTTTCTTCCCTTTGAATAGAAAATAGCTGAAAGTGATATGAGGATGAAGGAGCAACCTGGAGTTAGAAAATGTTTGATTCAGAACAAATAAAAGAAAGAAAGCTCAGCTTCATAGGAGAGCAATAATAGAAAAGTTAGAAAAAATGAGTAGATAACATGATCCTAAGTGTTATTAAGTGATCCTTAAGAAGTGTGGCAAGATACCCTCTCTGAGAACTTGCCCCTGATTGGCCCAATTTGACAATTCCAGGCCCTCAAGTCTATGCTCAGTAACTAAGCACCTTTGAACTGGAAGACTGAGGTTTAGAGGCATTCTGACTCTGCCAGTCACTAAATGGATGACCTTGGGCAAGTCACTTACCTCTCCAAGCTTCAGTTTCCCTTTCAGTAAAATGAGGCTAACAGTATATTCTGCCTCTTAGACCGAGTGGGTGTAGGACTGAGTGAGATAATGCTCACAGCACTTGGCCAAGTGTCCGGCACATCATTTTTGCTCCACAAATGTTACCTACTGTGACTGTGGGTACGAGTGTTATTATTACCATTATTATTAGAGGTAGATCTTAACACATTAGTTAAGAAATGGAAGGTTTGTGAGCTCCATGTTTGACATAGATTGCTACACACAGATGCTGGATTTACCAACAGCATCACAAAGAACATTCATCCTGGTACTATCAATGAGGCTGTTGTTTTATTTATTAAATATTAATACCTACTTTCTAGAGATTTTGTGAAGGTTAAACAAATTAATTTTTCAAACTATTTAGGGAAGTGTGTGGCCTAAAGATATTAGGATGGTCATTCATCATATCAACCTGTGAATAAAGCACAAAAATCTCCAGAGAGACAAGAGGATTAACCAGGAATCCTAATTAATTTACTTGGCTGGCAGGCCCAGGGTACTTGACTTAAGGAGAAACTGTCAAAGTTGTATGATCAACTTACGTGAAGAACTTAGGTCAATTTCGCAGGAACTATTGCCAAGGATGTTGATAGCGGTGCACTGGTAATAACCTTGTTCAAAATTGGTCAGATTTCCAATAACCAAAATCCCGGTGGCGGGGTCTGTCAAAACCAGGAAATAGACTTTTGAAATCTCTTATGTGGGTACAAATCATATCGATGTAGCAGATCATTCAATACCCACCCACTTCCTCACATTGCCCTCCCTTTCTTGAGATATCCAGGGCCCAACTAGACCCCTGGAGACTGTTCTATAGGTAGCCCATCTGGGACCATGCATATTCCCTCCATAACCACCACCTCTGAGCCAAAAACAGGCTTGACTTGTAGAAGTCAGGGAGAAAACCATACCACAATTGTCTTGTTAGGAAATAGACATTCTTTTTTCATCCCCCTCCCAGAAAAATAGAAGATTGAGCTCTAAGGATGAGCAGCCAGCCACACACACATACTGTCAGACACACACCAGGCCTTGCCAGGGACTGCTGAGGGATATACTTACTGAAGCTTTCCTTCACTGGGACGATGTCTCTTCCTTCAAGTCTATACCAGTAATACACAGGGGAGGGTGTTCCGAGCACAGAGAGACAAGAAAGAGATATAGGATGGCCAGTTTCCGGTATTCCCTGGATGCTGCAAAAGGGCTTGGAAGGTTTGACTGTAAGGCAATGACAAAGAGTAAAAAATCCTGCACGATGAATGGCAGTCTGTAACAATTGCAGTCACTTCCTCACTTTCATTTTGTAGAATATGTGTGCTTATTTAAAAAAAAAAATCTTTAAAAACTTATTTTGACAGTTTTCTGGTTGTACCACCAGGTGGGAGTAGAGCACTTCAGGTTCAAGGACCTTCCAGTCACCAGGCCATTGAGATTCTAACAGTGTCTCTTCCGTCTGCCTCCTCCCCAGATTCATAACCATGAATTTCTGCATTGTGTCTTAAAATATGCCTTTATTAAAACAGCCAAATGTAAGCAGACACTAAATGACTAGAAACATAGTTTGTACTTTTCAAGCACAGTTTTAAAGGCAAATAGAACCTTTAAATACTTTGAGATAACCTGTTATTTGTTCTTTTTAAAAAATTTGTTTTATTCATGCCATATTTTTCTTTTCCTTTACGGGTCATTTTCTGGCATTTATTCTTCTCGGGGTGACACAAAATGATTGGAGGGTTTGAATTTGCCTGTGTCCCTCATCAGTAGGGGAAGCCCATTTTGGAGGGAGTGTGTTACACAGCGCTGAAATCTTCATTCATCCTTCACTCCACAAGCATTTACTTGAGTGCCTCCTGTATTCCCAGCACTGGACCAGGCACCAGAAATTGAAAAGTAATTCTGACACAGTTCTGAAGTGGGGCGGGGCAGTGGTGAGAAATGAGGCTAGAGAGCAGCAAAGGCCATAGCTTGGAGAACTTTGCATTTCACGTATTTTATACGTGAATTTATAGTCCTGAGAGCTGGAGGACTACAGCAGGCATTTAGTAGTGAAGGGATGATGGTCATTTTAACGTTTGAGATGGATAGCTCCGACTCCGGGGTGCCTGAACCAAGGGAAAGGAGGAGACAGAGTCAAGAGGGATTAAGGAAGTAGAATGGACGGGACTTGGTGACCAAATGGATAAGGGGTATGAGGAAGAGGGTGTGGTCAATGATGATTCCAAGGTTTCTGATTTGGACAGCTGGGCACATAATCTTGCCATCCCCTGAGATAAAGCATACAGGAGGAGGAGCAGGTTTGCGGGAAAGAGTGAGGAGGAGGATGGGGCGATAATAAGGTCAGTTGGGGACATACTGAGTTTTAGCTGCTTATGAGACACCTCAGTGGAGAAGTCCTGTGGGAAACTGAGAATCTGAATACCCTCATTCATCTTACTGCTCACAGCTTACATACAGATAATGATATGAATTTTGATACTTACCAACTCACTTTCCTTATCTTAATTTGAAAATAAAACCCTCCAAAGGCATAGGTTCTCTAACTTAAGCTAGTTATACCTTAAATACTCTGGACTACCCAGCTCTCCAGCTCTCACTAGGGAGGCAGCAGTTAAGAGCTAACTCCGGATTCACACAGAACACTGGCTCTGTAACTTTACCCTAGCTGTGTTTAGGCAAGTAATCTAACACAACCAAACCTCAGTTGACTCATCTGCAAAACGTGAACAAGAGATTATCTGACTTCTGACTAATCCAAATACATTGAATTTATATAAATAAAACATCTATAGTGTCTTGCACATGGAATTGCTGTTGGCCACGGGAAGGACTAATTCCTGCTGCCACATTTTATAGCTTGCTACTGAAGTTAATCTTCCAGTCTCGGACTCTAATCCATTGTACACATGAGCGAGAAGACAGATGGATATAGCTGTAGCTCTTTGAAACACTTCACCATCCCTATCTTTTAAACAGGTGCCTTTTAATTAAAAGAATATTTTTCTATTTAGCTCTTTATTCTCTCTTCCTCACCATTGATTTTTTCAGCTGGCGACAACTCGTTGGCTTTGCCTACCCTAAACTAGGCTGTTTAACTGGAAGTCCATCGCAACTCTCACTAGATTTAGATATGACTTTTTTAATACATAGTGATTTTATAGTCTTTACAGCAGAATAGAGCACTTTGAACAGAAAATTAAATGGGGATGTTTCATGGCAAAGTCAGACACCAGGACGACCTAAATGATGGACAAAAACCTGGGATGACTTGCATTCATTTCTAGAGCCCAGAATCAAACCCAGATAGGCGTCTATTTTTGCTGAACACATTTTTCTCCTTTTATTTTTTATTAACAAAACACTTAGTGAATCACTTTGAGCCACATCCCAAACCTATATATTTTCTAAAACTACTGAATCAGGATTGAATTCACATTTCATCCAGTTCAAGTCCCCAGTAGAACTTGGATGCTTTACTGGCAAAGCCATTGATCTACCATTTAGCTTTATTGCTTTCAGCAGAATTGGGGTGGGAGGAAGAGGCTCATCTCAGAAAATAAATGAAAATGTTTCAGTGTATTCTCAAACCTTCTCTAAATTCATCATTTTCTTTTTATGTGCCAAATTGCAGAAGGAAGATGAGGCTCATTTCAAATGCATACAAAATAATTTTTCAAACTTCTGCTGGATATTTTTCAGAGATTCATTTTCCGAGGCTGTCATACCTAATGGAATTCTTTCAAATAAATGGTTGCCCAAACTAGCTGGGCCTTCGTTCATTGCTATTTCCTTCACCTAAATTGTGCCTGCCACATCAGCCCCTCTTCTGCCTGACATACTCTTGCACATCCTTCAACATTCAGTGCAAAAGTCACTTTCTCCAGGAAGCCTTCTCCAGTTCCCCCTGCACAGATTTTAGCCCTTTCCCCTTTCCCCTGTGAGCTCCCAGCTCTCCTCTCCTACCTCCACTGTAAGCTTTTATGCTATATATCTGCCTCCCTCACTAGACTCTGAACTTTTGGAGGTCTGAGACCCTATCTTTTACATCTTTCCATCTCCATTGCCTAGCACAGTAACTGGACGTGTGTTCAGAGTTTGTCGAATGAATTTATGTAGGAACAAGTGAATACATGGGATCAATGTCCATCACTGGATAATGAAATGTCTCTGAAAGACGCATTGCTAGGAAGAGCGATCTCTAAGGAAATATCAACACCTCTCCCCAAAATTGGCATTCCTTACCCACCTCCCCCATCATGCCCCACCCCTCAGTCAGGGCAAGCAGAACAGGCACTCATATGCAATGGAACTTGAGAACTGCAAACAGCCTCTGCAATTTTTAGAGAAAATTATCAGTCTCAAAATTTCCAGTAAGCATAAATTTGTAGAACACCTTTGTTCTTAGCACAATTAATAAAAATAGAATTTTTGAGAGTTCTCAAACAAACAAGGAAATCCACAGACCCTTCTACTTCTTACCTTGCATGGATCCTGGATGCTTAAGGAAAAGTCATGACTCAGTAATTGCAAAAAAAACTGACCCAAAGATTCATGGGAAAGAACCACTTGGAGAGGAAATGACCCTCAACTTCTTATGGAAGTTGGTTATGGATTCTCTGAACTTTAAACTTAAGAATATTAACCTTCCTGTCTAACTTTATCTCAGGGCTATTTCCAAGCCTGGAGATAAAGAGGCTTGGCTTCTTTAGGTTTTTTCTGGTTAGGACAATGCAGACCCAGGGAGCAACAGAAAACCATTAAAGGACTAATCCCTCAAATTCTTTGAACATTGAATCTCCAGTATATCATTTGATCCTCATAACGAACCTGTAAAGACAGGGCAGGAATTACAACCCCACCTCAAAATGGCCAGAGAAAGGTGGACTGACTTGCCTGAGGCCACTGAGTAGCAGAGTAAGAGCTAGAACTTACGTCTTCTGACTCCCAGCCTGATGTGCTAGCATCTATATACCACACCATTTAGTTCCCATGTATATAATGAGTCTTCCAAGCTGGAACATCAACTGTCCCAGCAAAGGGCTTGTGTATACTTCTCTTGTCTTTCCTTGTACTCCAGTGCCAAGCACATGGCTCAGCAAAATAAAAACATGATTGAGCTACCCTGCTTTTAAAAATCAGCTCTTGATTACCTTTCCTCTTTTCTAGGTGGGTAGATGCAGTACAAACCTCACAGTAAATAGCTGGTTCATTTTTGGCATCACCCGGGTGGCAAGCTCAGACAACTCTGGACAGTTCTCCTAGGTGTGCACCTTGTTACCAGTTGCGGCTTTTCCAAGCTACTCAATTATCAAGTCACTGGTTTGATCTAGTTCCTCCTTTCCTGTGATGAATGCATACAGCTCGAGAGGAGCAATGACTAGACCAGCTCCATTTGAGGTTACTTAGAAGTGGGAGACATGGTATTCAAAAAGATACTGCTAAGACCGATGTCAAAGAGTGTACTGCCTATGTTTTCTTCTAGGAATGTTATAGTTTCAGGTCTTACATTCAAGTCTTTAATTCATTTTGAGTTATTTTTTGTGTATGATGTAAGATAATGGTCTACTTTCATTCTTTGGGGGGAAGGTGAAAGGGGTAAAGGGGCACATATGTATGCAGACGGATGGAAACTAGACTTTTAGTGGTGAATGCAATGCAGTCTTTACAGAAGCTGAAATATAATGATATACATCTGAAATTTACACAGTGTGAGAAACCAATGTGACCTCAACAAAATAATTTAAAAAAAAATAAAAGGGGCCGGCCCCGTGGCGTAGCGGTTAAGTGCACGCGCTCCACTGCTGGTGGCCCTGGTTCAGATCCCGGGTGGCGCACCGATGCACCGCTTGTCAGGCCATGCTGTGGCGGCGTCCCATATAAAGTGGAGGAAGATGGGCACGGATGTTAGCTCAGGGCCAGTCTTCCTCAGCAAAAAGAGGAGGATTGGCATGGATGTTAGCTGAGGGCTGATCTTCCTCACAAAAAAAATAAAATAAAAATAAAAAGAAGTTGGAGAGCCCTTAGATCAACTGGTTAGTTGGTGAGAGTTGACAGGCCTTTCATCCTTCCTTCAGTGCTTCTGGAGGCATGCAGGCAGGACCTGCTGGGCCTACAGACAGGAGCGAAACTCCCACTGTCGTCTCAGACAGAGGTTGGAAGGAGCCCTAGAAATCGCCAAAATTGTGAACTCCCCAAGAGCAGAAACCATGCCTCCATCACTGTAAACCTCATGGCTCCTGGTGCAAAATAGGCACTCAATAAATACTGCATAAATGAACTACTCCAGATTCATTTGAAGAGTGGATACGACTTGCCCAATGTCACGTAATATTTCTATATAAACAAATTAAGTCTCAATGCTTGCTTAATATGTGATCCTTTCTCCAAATAGTGTTAACATTTTTAGAAGGGACCCTTCTGCCTTTATTCAAAAGAATGATTTAATGGTGGGAATTGTGGCTGGCTTAGGAGAGGTAATAAGCTGACAGTTGTCTCCCCCAGGTAGGACTGGTTCTAACTGGAGATTCCCTCTGAAAGAATTGCTAGTGATCACTTAGTGCGACTGTGTGTTGTCCCATCTGTTCTCATTCCATACTTTAGAGACAGGGATCCCCGGAGTTTGGGTCATCTACTGCTATCTGTCATTTTGGCAGCCCTTTTGGTTTAGCAATTGTTTCAACATGTTTTATGAGTGATTTCTCAGTGTTACTATATGGATTGGGTTGGTGATGTCTCTCTATTTGCCTAATAATAAAAGGAGCAGGGAAGACATTTACCCCCGGGACTTAATTGGCATCATAACTCACTGCCCTGGCTCATTCAATGTCCTAAGTTCCTCCAAGAAGAAAGAAGGCAGAAAAAATTGTCCATACCTAACACACTGACGTTGAGGATGCCTTGATTCTTGCCAACAAAGTCCGGGGGGTTGTTCACATCGCAGATGTAGATGCCACTATCTGCTGGTTGCATATGCGAGATAGTGATAGATGCGTTATCTGGCTCGTTGGACCCTACAATTCGACCTTTAAATTGCCCAATGGCTGCAGATTGTCCACCTTCAGAATAGTAAATCTAGGACAGAAAAATGACAGAAATGAGAACTGGAGAGTGTTTAGGGCTAGGATAAGCTACCTGGAAGCTCCCTCTATCCAATGTTACCTCCTTTGATAAGCAGCAGCATTTTTCCCCCGTGGGGAACAGGTCCCGGTGCAAAGGTTTCTCAACTCAGTGGGGCGCTTTAGCTTTCTCACAGCTGTGCACAGCCATTACCTCATTTGTGCTCAAAGCAGCTCTGTGATGTCATCGGGCAGGGAGGTATGCCTATCCCACAGATGGTAGACAGCTGGAGCCGACAGGATTCAACTTCTAAGCTTAGACTAGGAGATCAAGATGCTCACCTGATGAGTTTACCTGGAGGAAACTCACTACATAGGACACACGTGCCTGATGGGAAAACAAAATGTGTCTCTTTTTTTCCACTGTATAATCTTTTTTAATTTGAGTTTACTTTACCCAGTGGGACTACCTGGAATATCTGATTTCCCTAAAAGTTAGAATATTCATGCTCCTTTTGTACACATGTACTCCTTTGAATAAGCAAACTTGAATTCATCCTTTTTGTTAGAAGAGTAACACTTCAGAGCAGAGAAGCCCCTAAGAAATCATCTAGTCCCATCCTCTCCTAGTGGTGGCATGAGAATGAAACAAAGTAATCTAGTAAAGGACCTAGGAAGTGCTTAGCCAATAGTAGCTACTACCTTCCCCCCCACGTGGCAGGAGGCAGAACTGGAATTATTTCATTTAGACAAATAAAAGCACTCAAACCCAGAGAGATTAAATAACTCATCCAAAGCCACAAGGATTCACTTATTATTATTATAATTTACTAGACTTAAGAAAGATCTGGATTCTAGGCCCTTCTCTGTTAAAGAACATGGATATTTAGATCATAATGGCAACTGTGGGAGCAGCATGGGGTGGTGGAAAGAGGCGTGGTGAGGAATCAGATGAACTGGGTTTTAGCCGCAGCTCAGCCTCTGACTGTGACATAGGGGAGGCGGCCTCTGGTCATGCCTCCATGGCAACTTGCTTTGTGATAAGAAACTAAGTTATGTAATCTCTCCAACCTTTAGTTTCCACATCTGAACGAGGAACTGGAACAATGTTCTCCAAAGTATGATATGTATTGCCCAAGTAGAGGCATATAAGTTGATTTTAGGTGGTACACAAATAAAAACTTAAAAAAATTTTAATGTGTATTAGAAAGAAACATATCTAGTACATGAAATCTGTGACTTCATGGATATTACTGCTTAGGATGAGACTAAGGTAGATATTTTTAAGATTTTAAGAAACCAAGTCAATATAGAAAACATTAAATAATACTGCTGGTGATACACAAATATGACAAAAATCATAAAGATGAGACATGAGTGACTGAAACTTGGGAATCACTGGACTAGGTGACCCCTGAGGTTCCTTCATAATACACATAGTCTATGTACACACTTTGTTAGTTTTATACAAATATGTGTAATTCAAGTGATTGTTGTTTATTATTGAATAAACGTATTGCCCTAGTCCAGTGGGACTAATTAATATTTTCATAAAATCTACTAGAAGAGCTGTATGGTTCATTTAATTCACTCTCCTCACTTTACAGAAGAAACTGAAGCCCAGAGAGGTAAAAAAGACACACACAAAGTTAACAGTCGGGACATGTGTAGAACCCAGTTCTTCTAATTCTTTGTCCAGTGCTCTTTACCTTATTAGGCTAATGAGAGAGGGAAGGCAATCAGCAAACCAAAAGTATTGTCTAGACAAATGCAAATGTATCCTCCTCCGAGTATAAAGCCAATATGTTTTTAAAGTAAGGCAGAAAGGTAGATTCTGAGGGAAAATTGAAAGAAAAGAGCATATTTAAGGAAAAAAACAACTTGTCTCTTTCCTCCAGTTCTCTAACATCAGCTATCTTTCTTTCCTGCCCTAAATGAGCCATTTATAATTCAGTTTGTCCATTCACACCTACTGAAATTACAAACTTTTGCCCCAGAGAGGTCTTGTTTGACTTACAACTGGAAAATCAGTGTTAACTTAAGGTATTCAAGTGGGCCAGGAGGAGGTCCAACTCATCAAAGGTCTCTTACTTACATTTGAGTTGACACCCAAGATATCCGACTTTCCATTTCACTAGCCACATTCAGCTTATTTACTTTCTAATCAACAGTCTGAGGGCCTGGGGACTCTTACCTGGAACCCAGCCTGCAGTCCGTCAAGGAAGCCCTTTACAACTTAGACATCTGGCCGCTTCCCCTGCTCCCAGGAAGACTGGGGGTAGGTCAGCCTGTTTTAAGTTGAGGCTTGGTGACATCACAATGAAATACAACATCAGTCCTGCCTACGGCCCACAGTAAGTCCTAGAGGGTCTAGGTGAAAGGACCTTGTTTCTGCAGAGAGCAGGGTCCAAGAGAGTATGTTTTAGGCCAGGACTAAGACGTGAAAAGAAGCCACTGTAAAAATCTCACAGTTGGGCATGAATCAAGGTGAACTTAGCAAATAAGTAATGAGGCCCTGGACTTGTAACTTCCCTATGAAAAGGACCTTCACCAACACTTCTACCCTAGTTCTTCACACTGTAGCCTAATATATTTTGCCCTCTCACAAATAATACTCAAGGGGGTCAAGGATAGGAATGAGGGTAAGGAGGGATAACAATGGAGACCTAAAAAGGAAGGGCCTTGGCCTCGGGGTGCTGTGTGAGAAGGAAAGTCCCCATAGCTAGCCAGCAGTGGGGCTTTCTAGATGGAGGGGCTTTCTACTAGGGGAAGTCCACATTGTCACACTGTCCTTTTAAAGAAAAAAAGAAGAAATATTTTCCTGAAACCGCTTATCTAATCACACAGGAAGGACTGAAACTTGCTTCCATTTTTCACAAAAGAATAACTCTTTTAAAAATCAAAGCTGAACAATGGCCAAGGCCCAGCCCATGATCCTGTGAGTCTTGCACACTTTTCAAAGAAAGTCTATTGTCAATTTAGAGATCAAAGCAATTGAGGTCCAGGAAAAGCCATGGATGTTCAACAGGCCACATCCTTGCGGTGGGGGGTGGGGAGAGTCCACTTTAAGAAAATCCATCTAAGTGTTCCCTTAAGTGGTGCTTGTTAATTTTTTGCCCACTTGCCCTTTGTGGCTATGTTCATGTCAGACTGCCCTACTCTCCCCCAAGGTCCTCTCTACCTGCCCCCCAGTGATATTAGAGGCTGATACATGGAATCATAATAGCACATTAGTTATAAGACCCCGTTACAGATCATTTAGCTCATGATTTCTAAGGTTGAGGAGCCTTCAGGAGCCAGATGGATATTAGAAATATGGGAAATGGTTGGGAGCGGCTGGTGGATAGTGGTAAGATCATAGAGGATGGTGGGGACTATGGTGAACTGGAGAGCCAATACAAACAAGGCTTTCAAACTGTGGAAACAAAACAAAATACTGGGCTGGACAACCAATATGCATCCATTGCCCAAATCAGGCCCAGAGGCCTCCAGTTTGCAACCTCTGATTCATCCTCTTCTATTACAGAAAAGGCCACTGAGGCCCCAATTGAGGAAGTGATTTTCCCAAGGTCATACAATTTATAGTCACACCTGGAATACAGACCCCCTGATTTCCACTGAACACATTAAAATGGCACTCCGAGTCCTGACTTAGGCAAGGAAGATGATTCCCAGGCAACTTTGCCCTTTTGGGGCCATTCCATCCCCTACTCCAGCCCGACCCTTCTCCTGCCAATTGCTGCTATTCATTGGCATGATGCTTCCCATGCCAAGTGGGTTCACCACGTGATGCCTTCCACATTTGCCAGCTGCAATAACAGCCTTTCCCCTCCTACTGTGCCAAGTTCCTATTCACATGAGGCTGTGCAGCTGGGAGCCAGATTTTTCCAAAAAGATTTTTTCCCCTCAAAGTTGTGACACTGCTCTCTAACTAGATGCTGGAGTATAAACAAGAAGAGTTGAAAGAATTCAGTCTGCTTTCTGTTTGAGTCTGAGTTGGAGTTAATAAATGCCTTTAGCCTCCAGCGTTGCTTTTGTGGGTTCCTTTTGGAAATGTGGAGGGCATGGAAGTCCACAGCAAACCACCCATTCTTTCTCTTCCAGCCTCTTGCTTTCCTTCACTGCTCATAAAAGAGCTAGCCATGGGAGGGGAGGAGTGTAGGGTGGCAGTGGTCTCAAGCCCAGAATTTTCTCTGGACTGTATTTAGGAGGGCTGGGATTCCACATGGAAGGAACAGAACACCAAAAGGAAGACGTTCCTGCCCCCAACAACTCCCTTCCCAGCCTGCCATTTGCCTGAGATACCCGCCATTTGAATTGCTTCTTCTGGGTGAAGGCATGGAAGGTCTCTGCTTAAATGATTTTCTTTGGAAGAGAACAAAATAAACTATCACCAGTCCCTAACTCCTTAGCATTAGATTAATTTATTGGATTTAGCAAGAATAGACACCTGAGGAAACGGGACACAGAATAGATAAACTTTGATGGGAGGGAGTGGTGGGAAGGGAAGAACTTGGAGTGTTTCTCAATGGGGGAGACACTGGCATTTTGGGCAGATAATTCTTTCATGTGTGGGTCTCTCCTATATATTGAAGGCCTTTAGCATCACTAGCCATCACCCATTAAATGCCAGTAGTGACTCTACTTTATAACAATTAGACCAAAATCCCCCCACCTCGTTTTCGAATGCCCCTGAGGAGGTAAAACACTCCCACCCCACCAACATTTGAAAAGCATTTGATATAATGCTATCTGTAGAGGATAGGCCAGGTTGGGAGAACTAAAGTCAGAGTATATGAAGATACTAGCTTCTGGAAAGAAGTTGTCATCATTATATGTGTGCTGGGGAGATGAGGATGGCAAAGGGTTTCTTCCACTACAGATACTCTAGAAGAGTAAGTATTGTTTGAGAGACCGATGCTAAGTAGGGTCAATGCCTTTTCTGTTCATGGGCAGGTGAGGCCTCTGTAGTTTTACCAATGACTGACTAGGTGGAAAAGGAGGCCATTGGTGTGATTAGAGGGCACCAGACCACCCAAAACTTCTATGATATCCTGCCTGTCCCAGGGTCTAGAGTCTTCAGCTGAGACTCCCAGCTGAGGGACTGATCATCTGAAGCTGTCCATGTCTTCTGAGAGGAGGGCATCTCTAAAAGGAGGACCATGTTGAGGAATACCCTGGCTCTCCTGGTCAGAAGACTTGGGGGATATTTCTACAGTCCCCATTCACCAAAGGAACGCCTTGGAGGGGATAGTCAGTAAGAGATAACACCCTCCTTTGGCTATTGAGAAACACTAGTCCTTGGAGTCAACTATTCCTTTAACACAATGAACTTGGGGGAGAAGAAGAAGATGAGCCTATGACAAGAGTTGGCCACTGCCCTGCTCAAGGCAGCAATAGGGCCCTGAGCCTTTTGGAGGAGGCTGAAAAGAATTCCAGATGTGGGCATGAGAAGGGAAACTCAAGACTGTCCTAGTTTTGCCAGGAGTTTGTGCTGATCTGGATTGTCACAAACTCAGACCTTTCCATCCCACTCCTAAAACCTGATGCCATTGCCCTAGAGACTCCAAACAATGAAGGGGTCCAGTAGTACACCAATAGGTGTTCTTACCTGAGAGGTCCAGCTACATCTTCCCCGAGCGTCTCTTGCATGCGCCATTTTTAGACACTGACTGACTGCCTTTTCCTCCATACCCTCAGTATTGAGGCACGGGCTGTGCTGTGTTTGAGCAGAAATGGGTGGATCTGAGAGCCGAATGCTACATGGTATACTGCCACATCAACCCAGGAGTTGAATTGAATCACTCAGTGGTCAGTCTGGCAACATCTTACTCCCGTAAATCATAAAATTATCTAATAGCACAGCAGTCTCTTTTTATCATCCCCTAAATGTCCCACCAGCCATCCCTAGATTAACGTACAACATGCTCACAGAATTCTGAATGCATGGAAGTGCTCAAAGAAGAAATGAATTTGAAATAGAGGCCAAATCCCATTTTGAAAGATAGCATCTCAACCAAGGATGTCTGCAACCTCTTTGTTGAGCAGGCTTTCTGTTCAGGGATAAGGAGCCGGCAGAGAAGGGGCCTGACCCCTCCCTTCAGCCACAGAGACCTGGCAGGGAGTGGAACTGGAAGCCAGTCCTGGGCCAGGGTTCCCCCAAGAGCTCTGTCCCAGCTGTTCAGCTATTCTAACTGTATCTTGTTGGGTTGGGTTCTCTAGTGCATGACCCAGGTGTATGGATGAGATAGCGGTTTTGTAAAATCACCATTTTGTGAGTAGTGATGCTAATAATAATAATTCACATTCATCAAATGGTTACCATGTGGAAGGCTTCCTAGTGCTTCATAGGCATCATCTCATTTAATCTTCACAGTAAACCTATGAAGTAGGTAAGTAGCCCCATTTTACAGATGGGAAAGCTGATCCTCTGAAAGGTCAAGTGACTTGTCTAAGGTCATCTAGCCAGTAAGTAAATAGCAGAGAAAGGAGTGGAACTGACATCCATCAGGAAGTTTCCACTGGGGCTCCAAAACTACTCATCTGGAAAAGCAGAGAGAAGTACAGGCCTGCAGGGCATGGGGAAAAGGGAGAGACTCCAGTTCTCTAGAAGTAGACACCTAAGGATGGTTATGATGGGGATCTTGCTGGGGCAAGCTGAAGCAAGATGGGAAAAGAAGAGGGAGAGAGGTGGTGTTCACTGTCTCCAAGTCAAGAGCTGGCCCTACTCCACCCTGTCTTCCATGCAGCCAAGGCACAGGCATAGCACAGGTCTCATGCACTTGGAGAAGCACCTAGAATGTTTTAAGATCAAGGGGCATGTTCTCACTGATCCAGCAGCTCAATGCAGAGGACCTCCTTTGATTTGGACATCCCAAAAGAGTAGATACCTTAAATTACTTGCCCTGCTTGCACCTGAGATTTTGAAGAATGAGGCAAATGGCAAGTAAGTAAACCACTCAATAAATAGTTATTTGTAATAGATTTTCTTTTTCCTAAGTGCCTCTAACAGATGTCATGAGCTCAAGCTACACTCAGTTCAATCACCTACACCTTCTTCCCCTGCATCTCCAGGCCTAGAAAAAACTCATTGCTGGTCACAAGATCCTTCAGCCCTGCATTTCCTAGTTCCTTACCAGCCATACAGTTCAATTGAGAGGTAGCCTTGTAAATTCCAGTGTCAGAGGAGGCGTAAAGAGGAATTTGTGTTTTTTAATTAAGACTGGCCTGGCCTGGCCTCCAGGCAGTTGAGGACATCTTGATTTTAATACCAAGCATAAAAAAATTTCAAAAATATATTGGCAAGGCCTCCCTAAATTCAGCCCCTACTGGCAAAGTTAGAAGGACTTCAAGCCTACAGATAAAGAATGTACTGAAAACCCTAGTTAGGAAACTGAATTTTAAAAAGTAAAAAAGATCATGTGTTTATCGTCATCCACAATCTAATTATTGCATCCACAGCCTGCAAAGGAAAGGGATGATTTCTTAGTTGACTGCAACATGTGAGGTCTTGGTCATTTTGGGTGACAGAAACTGGTAGAATTACTGTTGCTGCTGCTGCTAATGATAATGATTTTTACAAAAGAAAACTTACAGAGCTTTGTATTTTTTCCAAGTGCTTTCACATGCATTATGTCTGTTGATTCCCCATGAGATATGTAGAAGAGTATTACTGTTCTACTATATTTTGAAGACAGGCACAGAATGATTCAGATACTTGTCTAAGGTAACCAGTACTGAGCTAAATTGTTGAACTTTGAGTATAGGGTGGCATTGATGGAATCTCCTCTTGAACAGTGTTTCCTGCTAAACAAGTGTGCAGGACCTCTGGTAAAGAGAGGACTCAGCACTTCCAAAAGACCATTGATAGCTGAAGTGACACTGGCCAAGGTGTGGCTCCTCCAAGCTAATGCCCTCCTTCTTCTCCACCTCTGCCCTTGGGCCTCCTCCAGCCTACTCCACTTGTTCTCCCTCTATCTTTTTACTAATAAAAACCCTTCCTTTCCTTCAAGGCCCAATTCAACTACCTCAAACTATTACAGACCACAGTGATTTGTCTCTTCTCTGAACTCTTTGCTTTGGATCATACATCTTTTTGAAAATCTGATGAAAATTGTAGACCTTTTCCCTCAAGGGATATATGTTGGCATACACGCATGCACACTCATGCACACACACACACGTACTTTTGAGTATACAATTTTAGTCCTTGAGCTAACTTAAAGCAGGAATTACCCTAAAGGCCAGTTGATGAAAACCCGGGAATAGGCAGCTTGCTGTAGAATCATTCTTCTCCTTTGAATTTCACCCACCCTCCTCTGGCAACCTCTTCTCTCAATCCCTAGCCTACCCTTCTTATTTCCTATCCTCTAGCCTCCTGCTGCCATTGATTACCTAAAGTTCATCACTACCTTAGCCCTTCTCCACCCATTTGGGGAGTCTCATTCCATCAGAACTCAGTCTGGCACAATGAGCTAGCTCCCTTGACAGGCAGATCCCAGATATTAAGTTTGGCAGAGATCTACAGATCAATTAGGACATGCATTTGAACTGAGGTCTTCTGGAAATAATAGTTATGGAGATATTTTTCTTAGGAGAGGAAGTCCTTTCAGAACAGCTGCTCATTTCACCTATGAAAAGGACCTTTCCTGTCTACACTACATGATATATTTGACATTGACCTGCACAGAATTGAAATAAAAGGCTATAACTGAATATGAAGTGAGGACAAAGGTCAAGTCACTTAGATGATGGTCTTCCCTAAACAGCTTTCTTCAAACTCTTTGTATCTGAGGTTCTACCACTGTTGTAATAGGCTTACCATTCCTTCACACACTGACTCCAACAGTTTATGTCAGAACTACCAAAGGGGAATAGTTTAGGAAAAAAGTCCTTACAGAAACTGGCTGTAACTCCTTCTTATGGAAGAATGACCACTGGATGGAAAGCTGGTCCCGGGAGGCCACAGTGGTGGTATAGGTACAGACGAGAGTGACATCAGATCCAACAGTCACGTTCACGAAACTGTCTGGGATGGTCACTTGCACCCCACTGACTTGACCTGAAAAGATAATCATCAAAAAGACAATGGTACACAGTCACATTGTGATGACAATTTTTCATTACAAAGCACTTTCAATGACATCTTATTTGAGGAATCCAAGGTGAGGAGAAGGTATAATGAACCTGGAAAGCTGAGCAAGCAATTTGCATGGGGAGAGTTTCTAACATATTACAATGTGAAGATACTCGAATCCTATGCGATAGTGAGGTAATAACACTGACCTGGGAATTTCTTCTGCGTAAGGATAGCCTTACACAGAGGTTCTTAAAGTGTTGTCCGGGGACACAGAAAGGTCCATGAGTTTAGAGAACAACCAATCCAGTTTGCCCAGGACTGAGGGGGTTCCTTGGATGTGAGACTTTCAGTTTTAAAACTGGGTAAGTCTCACGCAAACCATACTGGTTTTGCCAGGACTTTCAGTACTTAAACCAGGAAAATCCCGAGAAAACTAGGATGAGTTGGTCACCCTATCCCTAAGACCATTCGGGGAGGCTACAAGATCAAAATTATATTTATAATAATACCAAGATGTTATTTTTCATTTTTACTCTCATCCTGTCATGAGTGTACAATGGAGTGTTCCAGAAGCTACATAACAGGTAATGATGTTATTGCTCCGGCAGGTAATGGAATGTGTGCTTGGGTATTTTTGTGTTTAAATTTTTTTTTTAGTTTTACTTTCTAATACAGTAAAAATAGATAGAAATAACCCACATAGTAAAAACTCTTTGGGGTCCTCAATAATTTTTAATTGAAAATTTTGAGATAATAGTAGATTTAGACACAGTTCTGAGAAATATGACAGAGATCCCACGTACACTTTACCCAACCCTTACCCCCATGATAACATTTTGTAAAACTACAGTATAATAGCACAACCAGGACACAGACATTGATACAATTCACTGATCTTTTTCATATTTGTCCAGTTTTACTTGTACTCACTCGTGTATGCATTATTTCGTTCTATACAATTTTATCACATGTGTAGGTTTGTGTGTCCATCATCACAGTCAAGATACTGAACAGTTCCATCGCCACAAAGATCCCTCATGTTGCCCTTTTATAATCACGCCCACCTCCTTCCTGCACCCCATTCCTGATCCTAAGCATTGGCAACCACTTATCTGTCTTCCATTTCTAAAATTTTGTCATTTCATAAATATTATATAAATGGAAGCATGGCAACCTTTCAGGATTGGCTTTTTTCATTCAGTTTAATTACCTAGAAATTCACCCAAGTTATTTTGTGTATCAGTAGTTCACTGCCTTTTATCACTTAGTAGCATTCGATGGTATGTACCACAAGTTGTTTAACGATTCACCTATTTAGAGATATCTGAGTAGTTTCCAGTTTTTGATATTGAATAAATCTCTAATGAACAATCATGTACATATTTTTGTGTGAACATAAATTTCCATTTCTCTTGGATAAATGCTTAAGAGTGTAATTGCTGGGTCAAATGGCAGTTACATGTTTCATTTTATTAAAAAACAAAACAAAAAATAAAAAACAGCCACACTCTTTTCCAGAGTGGCTGTACCAATATACATTCCCACCAATCATGTATGAGTGGTCCAGTCTCTCCACATCCTCATCAGCATTTGGTGTTGTCACTATTTTCCGCTTTAGTCATTCTAATTGGTGTGTAGTGATATATTATTGTTGTTTTAATTTGCATTTCTCTAATGCAAATTAACGATGCTAAACAACTTTTCATGTGATTATTTGCGATTTATATATCCTCCTCAGAAAATGTCTGTTCATATCTTTTGCCCATTTTCTGATTGGATTGTTCAGTTTTTTACTGTTGAATTTTGAGTGTTCTCTATATAATCTAGATGCCAGTCTTTCATTGGGTAGAAACAGTTTTATTTCTTCCTTTCCAATCGTATGCCTTTTATTTCTTTTTATTGCATTATTGCAGTGGCTATAACCTTGAGTACTTTATTGAATAAGAGAGTTGAGAGTGGACATCCTTGCCTTGTTCCCAATCTTAGGGAAAAAGCATTCAGTATTTCACCATTAAATACAATGTTAGCTGTAGGTTATTTGTAGATGCTCCTTATCAAGTTGAGGTAATTCTCCTCTGTCATAGGTTGAATTGTGTCTCTCAAAAAGATATGTACAAGTCCTAATCTCTGGTACCTGTGAATGTGACATTATTTGGAAATAGGGTCTTTGCAATGTAATTAAGTTAAGGATCTTGAGATGACATCATCCTGGATTTAGGGTGGGCCCTTAATCCAATGACTGTTGTCTTTATAAGAGAAAGGAGAGGGAGATTTGACACAGGGATACACAGAGGGAAAGGCCGTGTGAAGACAGAATCAGGAATTGGAGTGCTGCATATACAAGCCAAGGAATGCTAAGAATTGCTAGCAGCCAGCTAGGAGAAAGGTATGGCACGGATTATCCTTCAGAGCTTCCAGAGAACCTTTGCCAGTGCTTTGACTTTCGACTTTTGGTCTCCAGAACTTTGAGAGAATAAATTTCTCTTGTTTAAGCCACCCAGTTTCAGTTCTTGGAAACTAACACACTCTCTATTGCTAACTTGCTGAGAGTTTTTATCATGAATAGGTATCGGATTTTGTCAAATGCTTTTTCTGTAACAATTGATATGATTATTTGCTTTTTTTTTTGGCTCGTTGATATGATAGATTACACTAAATGATTTTTTTTTTTTAAGATTTTATTTATTTATTTTTCCCCCAAAGCCCCAGTACATAGTTGTCTGTCATAGCTGCACATCCTTCTAGTTGCTGTATGTGGGATGCGGCCTCAGCATGGCTGGAGGAGTGGTGCCT